GTGCTTTTGGAATGATGTTCGGTGAGCCTTGTGTGAATTCTGTCTAAATATCACAGAAATATTTAGCCAGACAAGCCTCTGATTCCTGTTTAAGATTCCTTAAAAAGTTATAACTCACTTTGATTTGGAGTAGAAGGAAGAATTTTAAATCATTTATCAAACATCCTGCAGATAAACTTGGCTTTCACACTCAATTGGAAATGTCGCTCACTTAAGAAAATCCTAATAAAGAAAACTAACAATTGAACTTTCATTGCAGCATTGTTTGTGGAAGGTTAAATAACTTCAAAATAGAGTACACCTTGCCAGTAGGCAGATACTTGAAGACATGATGGTAAATCTATTACAAGGCATATCATTGAGCCATTAGAGTGAAAGAATTAGAGGTATAAATTGAGGAGATTTTAATGTTATTTTAGAAAAAGGGCTATGTGGAAATTGCATATGGAATGGTCTGATTTTTATAATGGAAACAAAGCAGAAAGCCATGTGCTCGATCTAAACATATACATAAGGACCCATCCAGTAACTCTACTCAAAGATGCTGATCATAGAGAAATGCATGCACATCTTCACTGGGGATGTTATACAAAAATATCAGTAAGGTCTTTAATTTGTTTCAGGAAAAATGGAAACTGCATAGATGTGGATCATGATAAATGGAAAATGCTGAATGAAATGTATAAACATTAAAGTAAGTGAACTAGAGTTTCATGTATCTACATGGGTAAACATAAAAAAATGTAAAGTTGAGCTGGAAAATCAAAATGCTGAGCAATGTATATAGTACAATGATATGCTTTTAATAAAATAAGAGATCCTACATCATGTATGGATATATAAATGGATAGTAAATATGTACAAGTCTTCAGGGGTATGATAATTACTGAATTCGCCATAGCAGAACTCACTAGGGAAGAAGAGAGCAGAGTGGGTCAGGGAAGAATTAAAAGGAGGATTTTACCATATCTTTAATGTACAAAATAAGCAGTAAATAGTACCTAGTATTTAAATTTGATACAAGTAACCATTGGTGTTTACAACAGTAAACTTTATTCTTGTCTCTATGTTTGAGATTAATTTGCAGTGAAAATTATCAACATAAAAACAAGCAAATAAGCTGCAAAAGTAGTCCCACCACATCTGTTTTGTGAGGGTAGATGTGCTTTCATTCATTAAGTACTCCCCATCACTGAGGCATACATATACCTTGTGTATTAGTTTCTTTTTCATGGTGTAACTGATCGTTACAAATTTTGTGGCTTAAAGTAACCAAATGTATTACTTACAGTTTTGGTGGCTGGAACTCTAAAATTTGTCCACAGGGCTACACTCTTAGATGCTCTACAGAAGAATCTGTTTTCTTATATTTTCCAGCTTCTAGAAGCTGTCTACATTACTTGGTTCATAGCCCCTTTCTTCATTTTCAAAGCCAGCAGTGTAGCATCTTCTCTCTTCTCTGATCTCTGCTTCCATTCTCTAACTCTACTGCTTACTGCTTATAAGGACTCTTAAAGTTATGTCGAACTGATTCCTATAATCCAGGATAACCTCTCCACCTGAAAAGCTGTAATTTAATTACCACTGCAAAGGTATTTTTGTCATATAATATCACATATTCACAGGTTCTGGGGATAGGTATGGGGACAACTTTAAGGGCTGGGGGCCTAGTTCTCTTTGCATGAGCTACTATCCTTTAATCTTCACAATACCTCTATGATGTGCCCATTAACAGGTGGAGAAACTCCGGACTGAAAAGATTAATTAACATGCTAGACTTGACAACTTGAAAGGGGCATAGCCAAGCATGGAAAATCTAGTAGGGTGAGTGAGGATCCCTGTTTTGCTCTTCCCCACATCTGTCCCTTTTCTCATCTCCTTACCCTCTGTTCTTATTGTAAGGGAACACACATACTTCCTTCTATGTTAGGCCTCCTTGCACCGTCCAATGTGCATTCAATTGGAGCAGCTGTGAGGCAAGATGGCAGGAATTAGGGCTTGGAAATCTGAAGATGGGAGTTCAAATACTGACACTCACCAGGAATGCTGGATCTTGGGCAAATTAGCTAACCTCGCTATAGTTTCACTGGTAAATAGAAGCTCCAAGATTCCAGATTGGAGGTAGGTTAGGCATATAGCATGGTAGCCTAGCACATCAATGTTAGTTTTCCTCCTCTCTGTGTATTCCTAGAGCTCTCACAGGCCAACTGCCCTTCCTTCACCTTCATCATGTGCTACTTACTCCAAACAGATGAGTAGTTCCTAATGTCCAAAGGCATGATTTTATGATTTCTTTCTGCTAAGACCACACCTGTTCATATTTTGAATATTAAATACACTGTGTTTATTGACTAATAACCTCTGTGGTTCTGTCTTACATAAATGTAAGTTCTGTTAAGCCTTTGGGAACACCAAGAGTAGCCTACAGCCTAAACCCTATTCCATTACTTCTTTAGGGAAAGTGGGTAGGAGTCTAGGCTCTACGGTGGACACTACTTAAGGATAAGCTCTGATCTACCTGGAGTGCTACCCAGAGATGCTTTGTCCTTGTTGTGCAGTGGAGCAAAGGTTTACTCATATGAAGGCACTGACAGAAAAATGGCATCCCTTCCTCTATTAGCAATTGAGGAGTTGGTTGTTGGGCAGGAGGGAGTGTAGCAACAAATACGCACTGCCACAAATTAGTTTATGACTAAGATTTGTGAACAAGAGACTTCAGTAGGCAGTGGCTATAAAGAAAGATTTAGTTAGAAAGTGACCATTGTGAAGAGAATAGGTTTGCCATATTACATTCCCATGACATCCCATCAGAATGAGGAAAACTTTTAAAGAACATAGGCAATTTTTGCAGTGCTCTACACACAGAGAGTCTGAGAGAGAGAGAGAGAGAGAGAGAGAGAGAGAGAGAGAGAGAGAGAGAGAGCACCGGCTTGAACTCAGAGGAATTTGCTCTAATCCAGAATCACTGGTGTGTGCTGTTGGACTTCCAGAGAACCTCTCCACAAGCCTAGCAACAAAGCTGGAGAGATTAGCCTTTTCTGTTTGTACACAGGGCAAATCAGAGAACAGGAATTTTAGGTGAACTCATTATGGTCAAAGGGCTTGTAAGTAACACAAGACTGGGCCAGAATTCATGCTCCCAGGCTTGCTACATTCAATACCCATTCTTCTACACCCAGCATCCCCTTTCGAAACATGTACAGAAGGTTGGGCCCTGCTGGGTACAATTTGGTTTTCCCAGTGGCACACTCTGCCCCATCCCAGAATTCATTCACCAGGTGCAGCATATCTTATTCCACTAACTCTACCAAGGGCTGGAAGGTATCAAAGACTAAGGGCTAGACAGGGTCCCTTCCCTCAGTAGGATTACAATCTGAGGTTCTGTCAAGCAAGCATTTAGTCCCTTTCAGAATAACAGGCATAAAGTGTCCACTTACTTTTTAACAGTTCAGTTAGGAACACATGTATTTCCACTATGTATTCCTTCAACATGCATTCATTAAATGCCACTCTGACACTACTTGAAACACCTTAAAAAGCAAAGTCTGTGCTTACTCTGTGATAAATGCTTTTCATTTATTATTACTATTGAGTCGGAGTCTCACTCTGTCGCCCAGACTGGAGTGCAGTGGCACAATCGTGGCTACTCCAGCCTCGACATGCTGGGCTTATGTGATCTTTCCACCTCAGCCTTCCAAGTAGCTGGGACTACAGGCGCGCCACCACGCCTGGCTAATCTTTTGATTTATTGTAGTGAGGAGGTCTCGCCTTGTTGCCCAAGCTGGTCTTGACCTTCTGAGCTCAAGCAATCCTCTCGCCTCAGCCTCTCAAAGTGATGGGATTACAGGCGTAAGCCACTATATCCAGCCTTCATTTATTATTTCATTTAACTCACACAACCCTATGAGGCCAGTTAATTAACCCTACTTTACAGATGAGAAAACTGGGCTCAGAGAGATGAAGTGATTTGCTTAAACTAATACCTTAAATGACATAAGAAAGATTAAGAGTGTTAGCTTTAGGGCTCCCCTCAGGGGAGTAAAAATGGATCCACTACCCTTTTGGACAGATCAAGACAAGCTTCAAGGAGGAAGATGCCTGTGAGCAAGCAGATGAAATTTAGATACTTGGAAATGCCCTTCAGGCAGAGCAAACAGTGAGCAAAAGCAAGAAGTGGATACAGTTCAGGGTGTGCTCTGAAGGAAGCAAAATAAATCGGGTTTCCAGGTAGACTGGAGCTAAAAACCTTGCAGCCGACTTGTATTTCATCACCTTCTCCTGATTTCTCACTTCATTCAGTCTGCAAAACCCTTAAGGGCACCCTTAAAATGCTGTTCTGCTTTTCCATTCCCATGGCAACAGCCTTAAGGCTTGCTTTGGTTCCCGGTGCTTTGTATTCTAATTGTTTTCTATGTGGTCTGCCTGGAGATAGACTGCCCCCTGTGAGGCTGCGCAGATGCAAGTGCGATCCTGTCACTGCCCTGCTTCAATATATGTATATAATGCATCTCTTACATTCTGCTTGCTTTTACAGTCCCAACTCCTTACATCATCCATCACTTCGGCCATAGCAATATTGTCCGGGTCCTAGATGAACTCACGAAATAATCAGTATATACATAAACGCCTTCTGAAAACAGGTCGAGTGAATGCGCTGCGTAGGACAAAAAGGGAGGGCTAGGGACAGCTGATTCCTTCCAAGAATACATCTTCCCTTGCTCCCTCCTTCCATCCCCTCTCCACTTTCCACACACAAGACAGCCTGCCTTCTGTGGAATGGAGCAGAAACTCATTCCTCCCCAAGACCTGGGAGCCAATCTTGAAATGACTGTGCCAGGCTGAAGAATACAGAACCCCTAAGCTATTCTTTTATCTCCTGTGTACCCCAGCCCCCACCAATCCCTAGCCGTCATTTCTTCCTTTGTCCCACCCCTGCTTGTCCGTTTTCCTATCTGCCAGCGGAAGTCCCTGTGGAGGACCGACCCACTTCCTTTTTGGTGTTCGGCGTTTGCGTGGCAGGAGAGGCGGAGCCAATTTTGCTAGGCTTTCTCGCGCGCTTGCAGCTGCGACAAGTGCTGGGGGTGGCTGCTAGTGCAGGTCGCCTTGCGTGGGAACGGGCTTCGTAGCTGAGAACGTCTCGTTTGTTGCTACAAAGACTCTATTGACGTTGGTGGCTTTAGCCGCAGCAGCTTCTTACAGTAGGGACAGTTGCTTTCTGCGGAGGCTAACAGGCATCCCTCTTAGGACTGCTGTAGGCTTCGAACCCCTAGCAGAGAACATGCCGCGGGGACGAAAGAGTCGGCGCCGCCGTAACGCAAGGGCCGCAGAAGAGAACCGCAACAATCGCAAGATGCAGGCCTCAGAGGCCTCTGAGACCCCGACGGCCGTCCCTGTGGTCCCGAGCACCCCGGAAGATGACCTGAGCGGCCCTGAGGAAGACCCGAGCACTCCGGGGGAGGCCTCCACCACCCCTGAAGAAACCCCCAGCACTGCTCAAGCGCAGAAGCCTTCAGTGGCCCGGAGCAATTTTCAGGGCACCAAGAAAAGTCTCCTGATGTCTATATTAGCCCTCATCTTCATCATGGGCAACAGTGCCAAGGAAGCTTTGGTCTGGAAAGTGCTGGGGAAGTTAGGGATGCAGCCTGGACGACAACACAGCATCTTTGGCGATCCAAAGAAAGTCGTTACGGAAGAGTTTGTGCGCAGAGGGTACCTGATTTATAAGCCAGTGCCCCGCAGCAGTCCCGTGGAGTACGAGTTCTTCTGGGGCCCTCGAGCACATGTGGAATCGAGCAAGCTGAAAGTCATGCATTTTGTGGCAAGGGTTCGTAATCGATGCTCCAAGGACTGGCCATGTAATTATGACTGGGATTCGGATGATGATGCAGAGGTTGAGGCTATCCTCAATTCAGGTGCAAGGGGTTATTCTGTCCCCTAGGGAAATCTAAGCCAGACCCTTGGGGAGCGGGAGAGAGTAAAAGGTACATCAAGCAATAGATGGCCTGGGTACTGAGTTGAAAATGGCATGGATGGGGGCGGGGGGAACTGTATTCGGTATTTGTGCTCAGTGCTAATTGTTTAACTGCAAACTCGAGTGTTTGCTTTGAATATTGTAAAAATCGTATTCATTTTATAATATGTTGATTGAGAATTACAGTGTGTTTAAAATATAATTGAATATTGTTTTCCTTTTACTGTCATTGAGATTTAGTATAACAGTTTTGCTAACGTTAAAAAAATAAGTCATTCCATCTTATCCTGTGATCTGGTACAATATACCATAGAAATAGGCTGTTCTTTTGAAGTCAAAATAAGCAGTAAAATGTAGAAGGATGAAAGATTTGTTCATATATGAACTTTCTAAAACCCTTTGTGTCTGCTGTTGTGTAAAGACTGACGTTTATCATGGCTTTGCTTAGCTACTGCGTAATATAGGGGAAAATAAAAGCATAATGACTAATATAACTTGTCCACTTATTGACCACCTGTTAAGTGAAGCACGAGTCTAAGATCTAGGAATAATCTTTAGAATACAGCCCCAAGGTCCAAAGAATGTTCTAGGTTATGTGCAAGAGAAAAATGTGTAAATGGACAGTGCTGTAAATGCTGTGATAGGGACTCAGCACGAGGTGCCATGAAAATGTGGAGAAGCTTATATGACCTGTCTTGAGGCATGGAACAGAGAAGGGGACATCATAGGGTGCTTGACGATTCAAAGATGCTGAAATAAGCTTGAGGGGAATTGGAAGGGTATACTCATAAGAGTATCCTATGAAAATATTTTGTATTGGATTATCCTATTAGATACTTCACCCAGCTTAGAGCATTGACAAATGAAAGAGGACATCACAGAGTGCTGTGGAAATAGAAAGTCATCATGAGAGGAGGAGGGCAGAGTGGGATACAGGGAGAAAAGGCTTCATGGAGGTACTACAGAAATAAATAAAAAAGATGGGACTGTTAGAAAACTCTTGGTGAAGTGACAGAGATTTGGAAACAATATAAAGGTGTGGGAAAGGGAGTAAATACAGGGGCACTGAAAGCAGCATGGACATTTGGAAATAAAAAATTCTTCACTGAACAATTAAGGAGACATCAAGGGGAAAATAGAGAACAAGAAACAAAGCATGGGAAGAGGTGAGCAGGGCCAGAGCCCCTCAAAGGGTAGGTGTTATGGCTGACTTTAAGCTAATTACAATAAAAATTATTAATAATGATGATAATGATGAAATAATGGGGGGAAAGGCTATTTTTTTTTAAAAAAAAAGCAGATCTTCAGGGATATTGGATGAACCAGAGAGAAGACTCTACCTGTAGCATCCCTGAAAGGCAGGTAGCCTTGTACTTCTCTCAGGAACTACGGTATGTTACCAGGCACACATTGTTTTAAAGTGTGTGTGTTCATGGGGGCGAGGTAGCATTAGCATTTTTACTCTCTCAGCCAGTGGAATCCAGAGAACTACCTGGCATGGATGGCCTATGGTGTACAAAGTCATGTAAGATCAGGTTTCTTCCCAAACCCAGGAGCTTTCACATGTTCTCACCTCATGATAGCAAGGAGCTCAATTGCCTTCTCATCCTTTCTATCACCAGGGCTTTCTGCCCTGCAGCAAATCTGGAGATGTAGGAGTCATCCCTCACAATCTCATCAGCTATAGGCACAAAACATGCATAAAAATCTCTGGCAAGCTCCAAATTCTACCATGTTTCTCCCCAGAGCTAAAAGCATTATGTGAATTGAGATAAGCCTAATAGGGAGGACCAAGGGCAGGTGCCTAACTCAGCCTTGTGGGGTGCATGGTAGCAGTTATCACACATGACAGAGTGGCCAGCCCACCTTCTTTCTTTACCTCTAGGCTTACTTTGCTTCCAGCTGTGTGCAAAGTAAAGCCACTGGGTGCCGGGCAGGCTAACAAATGACTTTTTGGCAAAGGCCCAGGGACTCACAGTCACCTACCTGAAGGCCAGGGAGACTTCAAACAGAAGTAGTAATTATGATCAGCAGCTCCAGTACGTTCAGCAAACCAGAAAATAGTCTTTTATGGTTCAGGTACTGTGATAGAAACTGCGGCTACAGAAAAATCAAAAGGCCTGTTTCTTGTCCTGGAGATACCATATTTGTCAATACCACCTCCAGGGGAATCTGAGGTTGAAGGAGCCACAAAAGTGGCAAGAGACAGATCCCAGACAAGATCGCATGTCCATTCCCTGCAAATACAGCATCCTTTCCTATAGGCCACCCTACTGTCTGTCTCTGTCTGCCAGTGCACTCACAAGGTCTCTGTCTTCAAAAGAAACACGTGAAGGAGGGGAAGAGCTCTCAGTAACTCTGATGGCAGTTGGGGAACCAGGCCAACTTTAAATTTCGTCTACCCCCTTTTTACATAAAGGGGTTCACAGAAGTCAATCAACCCCAGGTCAGTCAGCTAGTAAGTGGAAAAGCCTGCAAAGCAAAGATTTATTAAGCACCTGTTGGTACCAGAGACATGCCACATATTATCTCTGCCGGGTCAGCCCATTTATAGGATGCTCCAGCTAGCTCAGGAAACGAGGTAGTTCTCCCAAAACCTGTCTGAATCCATGTCTGCTTTGGTTCGTGTGAAGAATGATCATCCAATTGCCTAAAATGCTTCTTTGCAAGTGTGGGCTAAGAAGCTTAATTCAGTCAGAAAACCAGTAGTACCCAGTTTAAAGGGAGAAAGAATGGGAGTACATCTCCAGCTGCCCTGTCAAGGAGATGGCTGCTGTAATCCTAAAGGCTTCAGGCAGGAGGTTTTGCACAGGATTGGGAAGCAAAGGATTTGATGACCTGCCTTAGCCCAAGGAAGGAACAATCAATGGGCCAGGCTTATTTCCCTGTGGCCTGGAGTTTCAGACTTCCTCACACACTACAAAGTACTGTAATGAGTAAATCTTCATTGGGTTAGGTAAAGGCAGAACAAGGGCAGGATTTCTGGTGGCTGTGAAATGAAAAGCATAGCTGAGGGAGAAGCAAGAAAACCGGGAGAAAAGGAGAGCATTTACTGTGGTATTTGCATACATTCTGTGAGCTTTGAGCTGCATCCAGGTGCAACATATAGCTGTGAGCCTCTTGCTGTGTGAATCTGAAACCCAAACTAGCCCCACCCCAGCAGAGGTTCCACAAAGTGAGTGGGAAAGCTGCTGTTTTAGGTGCAAGGATGCCTCTGAAAAGGGACTGAGCTTCTGGGTCCTAGAACACTCCAGGTTTTGGAGAACTCAGGGATAGAGAGCCCCAAGCTCCCTGAGGCATAGCAAAAGTAGCAGCTGGCGTTTACTGAGTGCCTAAATTGTGCCTGGCACTTTGATGGTTCTTATCTTGCACTGTCTCTAACATTTGCAACAGTCCTGCAAGGGAGGAGCCACCAGGCCCAATTTACAGAGGAGGAAAGCCAGGTTGCATCTCACAAGCAAGGTGCTAGGCTTACTTGGCTGGTCAGTGGCAAGTCTTGCATGTGAACCCAGGACCTGCCAAGTCTGAAGCCCACACTGCTATGCTATAGGGACAGACTCCAACCCCGGGACACCGGGGTCTCGACCCAGCCTTGAGAAAGTCTTCTGTTTTCAAACTCCACCACGTCCCAGGGTAGTAGTGAGAGGGAACATGCTGGGGTGGGGTGAGGAGGTGTGGGAAAATAAAGTTAATGTGCACTTTGGGGATTAGATGTGTCTACCTGTTTCCTTATTCTGATGTCGGTCACGCTTGAGATCTTGTCAGTGTGGAATGAGTATTTCATTTCCTTCCAAGACAAGTATATCTTCGCCATCATAACACATTCCCCAGAAATTTCTCCACCCCGCACCGTCTTTCAGTTTTCAAATCCTAGATTCTGGCTTTCTTACAGTGGATCAAGCAAACAGTAATTGCCCACTGATGCTTTTGCTGATCCAGAAGGTATTGGACAACCTCCTCCCTCGAGCAGACCTACTAGGGTAAGATGCCCACAAACAGCAAACAGGTTCTGGGACATCCCCCTTGAGCCCAGTGTTGCGGCTTTGGCCTCAGCAGGCAGATGCAGAGCAGAAAATGGCCATGGCAAAAGAGATATGGATTCTTCCTGATCTCACATTTGGCCCCTGTGAGGTATCTAGCAGTCTGGATCCCTCCGACTTTTTCCTGCGGCAGAAAAGTAGAATCCCAGCTTTCTAAAGGAAATGATTTTGGAGTGGTAAAGGTGGAGAAGAATGAATGATATGAAGGTGTATTAAGACCTGTACATAGGTTACTCCAGGGTTGCTTCGTGAGCCACGAAACAGTTAAATATCAAAGAACTAATGGAATTTCTTTGAAAATCCTTGAGAGGCCACTTGGACAAAGGAGGGTCTCAGTTAAGATTACATAGAGGAATAAACCTGAGGCAACACAGGGTGATTTGGAGGGGAAGGCAGAGCCCATTTACAGCTAGGGAAAATCAGTTCTTGACTGGGCAACTCCTACCCCAGCTCCTGTGATAAATGACAGCAGTGTTGCCAATGTTATCTTAAAATGTGCAACACAAGATAAGTGGCTGAGATCCCTCCTGTGACTTGGACCAAGGAGGCTCCTGATTCAAGGAGGCCTATAAAGTCTCAATAAAAAGGTGGCCTATGTTATTTTGTATTTTGTGATTATCTAATAATTCATCCATTCACAAATTCAATGTGTATTTATTAAGGCCCACTATGTGCCAGTCATGGTTTCAGTACCCGGGATACATAGGTGGACAAATCACAAGCTACCTTGCCCTCGTGAATGGTGCATATGAGAGCAAGGAAACAGAAACTAAAATGTAACATAACTGATTATACAGCAGAGTAGAAGGTGATAATCACTTTAGGTGGGAGAGGTAATAGTAGTAATGTGGTAAGGTAGATGGGATCATTGAGAATGCAAGGGGAGAAAGAGAATAGAGTATTCCCTTCCGTATTCAAGTGTCGGCAGGGTAGGCTTCACTGGAGGGGTGACATTGGAGGAAAGAAATGAAGACAATGCAGAGGCTTGCCTTACCTACAAATAAAGGAAGTACTCTCTGGGAAGAAGGGCCAGCTGACACAAAGGGCAGCAAGACCAGTGCTATGGAGTGAGCCAAAAGGACAAGTGCAGGAAATAAGGTCAGAGAGATTAGCAGAATCCCACATTATGCAGGGCCTAATAGGCCATTTTAAAGACCTTGGCTCTTGCTTGGAGTGAAATGTGTTGGGATGAGAGGGCAGGAAGTGGGAGAGCAGGACAGCAGTAAGGGGTTGCGCAGAGGAGTAAGATGATCTGACACCTTTTGAAAGGATCTCTTGATTACTTAATATGCTGAGAATAGAATGGATCCAGGCAAGGGTGCTGGGAGTGCGGAGCCCTGGCAGGAAGCTATTGTTGTAACCCAAGCTGGAGATGATGGTGGTTTGGACCATCCCAGCAACAGCAGATATAGTAAGAACTGCTCAGGTTCTGAATACATTTTGAGGTTGAC